AATAAAAAGAATCTCCCCTAACATCATCTTAATGATTTCTGTTTCATGTGTTGGAAAGATGTTATATCACAAAATTTAAATACCAATTAAATATAAAAATTTGAACTCAAAATGATGCACGTGTCTAACCTGTGTTATAAAACAAATATTCCTTAAGACTAAACTATTCATCCTTGAACGAATTGGTGTTTTTCAAGGTTGCTGTTTTTTTTTTTTTTTTTTTTTTTTTTTTTTTTTTTTTTTTTTTTTTTTTTTTTTTTTNTTTTTTTTTTTTTTTTTTTTTTTTTTGGTTCAACAGATTAAGCGAAAGTCTGATTCCACTGCGTTTGTTGCGTTGTTCTTTAAATCGAGCTGTATCTCAATATCTTCAATAAATATAATAAATTTTTTTTAATGTTGCTCAGGAGAGCAACACTCTTATTTTTTCGTCCTAACACGAAGCACGCTGTCTATTTGCAGTGGAGCAAATTTTGTAATATAGAAAAACTCAGAAAGAAAATAAATTAGATGTTTTGTTTTAATACAAGCGGCAACACATCTTACATAAACATGTACGCTAATGAATAAAATAAAGCAATGCGCAGTGGGCCAGAAGACCATGATCTTTGGCCAAAAGTCAAAATTAAATTTTCAACTAAAATATGTGTAGGCAGTTTTAATATCGCCCAAATTATAAGTATTCATAATCATTCCAAACATTACAATTCACTTTTTGGACCGACGAGAGTACAATGTAGTGAAAAATATGTTTAAAAAAAAATTTTTTTAATGTAACTTTTAAATTTATATTTCAGAAATGTATATAGGAATTTCACCTTTCTGTTACATTTTTATCAGAGTAATTAGTCTGAAATTATAGTACAATTTTTCAATTTATTGGATTAGTTAATACTCTTGACAAACTTATAGTTTATATCTTATCATTTGACATTTTACAATTTTTGAATCACTTTCGAAACTTATCTCTAAAAAGTTCCACTAGGTAATTAGCTAAATTTTTTTTGTTGTCTTATTTGATGTTTCTTCTTTCGAAAAAACCTGCCCCATTTTGCCCATATTGCAAAGGTGGACTAAATATACCGAAAAACAAAAATTATGTTTTTTTTCATATTTTCGCGTTATTTTGTAATATTACTTCGGAAATATAATTTGCTTTTCATTTTTAATATAAAATTACGAAAATTATTATATTTTCATTGCTATATTTAATTATTTAAACGTACTATACATGTATTTTTTTTGCTCGCCATATTTCAGCCGCCATTTTTTTTTTTTTTTTTGGTTGGTATTTTTAGCGTATTTTAAAATTTCAACTATGAATTCAATTTACTTGCACATAAAAACCCTAAATAAAAACCCCGAAATTTTGAAACAAATTTTATCGAAATACTAATTTTGACCACGAAACCTTGGATGCTGGCCCACTGTGCGATGGTGATATTAATAGTTGTGCCATATTTATATAAGTTGTGATTAGTAATACGACACACTTTAGTCGTGCAGTATGCTTAAATATATATAATTTTTTTACATGTGTTGTAATTTCCATGAAGTACAAGTTTACTTCAATGAATCAATAATCTTTTTTTTTAATTTACTCAAACTTTAATAATAAAAAAAAAAACAAAATTGGAACGAAATTAATCAAATAGTGCTTGAGAAATAAAATTTTAACTAAGGTCTTTTTTTAAATTTTGTAATTCAGATTTCGATTAAATTTTTATTTTGTCATTTAAAATTGCGATTTAAAATGGTGCAAAAACTTAAATGCCCTGCAATTCGAACTTTTTTCGATCCTTATTAAATATTAAGAAGTTAGAGTAAAGTAAAAATAATATTATGAGTTTCAAACTTACGACAACTTTTCTGACTAAGCTATTGGGACCATATTTTCCAAAAATGAGCCTTTATATAATGTTGTGATGGTTAAATAGCCAATGCTGTCGAACAAAATATATGTTTATTCAGGAAAAATACGCTTTCGCAACTTAAAATATCATCAGAAATAAATAATTTACACATTTGAAGTCATCGCTTTTAATGATTTACACTTAGCTCGTAAAATTCCGATCATTCGAATAAAAGTTTTCTTTAACACTACATAGAGAAAGTTCCAAATCAAAAAGATTCAGCAAAACAGAAAATTTATATTTGCTGAAATTATCAAAAATAAAAGCTGTAAAGAACAGAAATTCACTAGGAACTGATAACATGTGATAGTGTAGGAAACTTCCAGCAGACAAATAACACACAATTTATAATTCATACGTTGCCACACTGACAACACAAATGAGGGCTTTCAAATTGTAAAATCACTTTACATGCTCTTTGAACAATTTGAATTAAAATAAATTTTTAAGCATTTTTCAATGGGATAAAACTTTTATGAACATTAAAATTATTGTTTCCTGACAATTACAACTAAACAATTTTCTAGTAATTCAGAAAGGTTTTTCCATTAAATCTGAGCTATTCCTGTAGTAAACAGAGTTTTATTTATGCTTTATATCAAAAAACCAGCTTATTATTAAAACTTCTTTCATTAAATACGGAATCTCGTTAAATCAAACTTTGTTATAACCAAAATCGGCTATACTTTCAAAATATCCTATTTTCAAACGCTGATATTTCTCTGTAAGCTGACTCGTCACTAAAACATTTTCAAAAATCATGTAACAAAATTTCTTGAAATTAAAATTTTTACGAAGAAACCATTACTAGTCATTTTAACTATTACAAAAATTAATTTAACATTTCCTGTCTAGTTAGACGAAAACGCTATTTATATTTTTAATCATTTCTATTCTAAAATTCTATCACTTATATCTAAGATTCCATTTATTGCAAAGATTCTATTTATCGAAGAATCTATTTCTAAGATTTGGAATTTTCAAATAGTGCATTAAGTATTAAAAATATCTGTTTTAAGTATTTTAACTTGATCCCATTCAAGTAAATCTAGCATACTTTGGGCAAAATAAATTTACTTGCAAGAGAGCAGCCGGTGGAATTGCCTTCAACGCCGATTTTTTTTTTATCTTTCTTTGACTCAAATATCAAAATATAATATTTCATGTCAAATGATAGGATTTTTCCTCCTTCGAATCATATTTCTTTCTTACAAGAATCTTCGATTTTTGATATCAATAACCGCAAGGCATTTATTCATTTTTGATAAAATATCCAGTTTCCAAAAGTTAAGTTTTATTACGATCATAACATGCCTTTAGAATCCCAGAATAATCCCAAAGTATAAACTTTAAATATTTCATGTGAATTGTAATAGATATATCACGATCCTATAAATACGAAACTTAATCTTAAATTGAACTAAATTTTAATAAATTTTATTTCTTACTTAATACAATGAAGTTTCAAAGACAAAACAAACATTTTACTTCATTTTTCTAAGCTTCTTGTTTTTATTACTCATTTTTCTTTCTTTATATATTTTTTATTTGCGTTGGTCAATTACAAAAATATTTATTAACACTAGATTGCCTAAGGAAGTAATTTTGACTGCTTTTAATTTCAATTAGAAAACAATGATGTCTATAATGACACAGTTTCTTAGAATTTTGTGACTTTTTGTACAACATACAATTTTTTTATTGTTAATATTTACAAATAACTTGTTATATAACTGTAAATAATATAAAAAATGCTAAAAATTCATTTTAAACAAATTTATTTACGCAATCACAATCCAGTCATTTTGACTGCTTTCAGGCAATATAGGTATATACTAATTTTCCGTCTTTCTAGTGCTAAACACCTAATGTAAAACATGAAATTATTTATTATAATTAACGCTGAATGTTTTTTAGATTTTTTTTCTGTACATAAAAAAAGTAGAAAACTCATTTGTTACAGCAGTTTCTGTAGGTTTTTCTGCAATATTACATGAATTTTTGGAAATTTTTTTTATATTTTAGAGCATTTGCTAGTTACTATCTAATTTTTTGAGGGATTTTAGGATTTTTTGATAGTGATTCCTTTTTTTATGAAATTTATATTTTTCTTTTATATTGTAATCGTATTCTTCTATCGTATCGTATCATATCGCATTCTTCTTCGCCTTGCCTCAGTTTTCGTTTGTAACACTCTTACTGTCTCCAATTGCCATTTTTCCCCCTTTAAAATTTCATGAATTATTTTAATGAAAGTTATCTCTCTCTCTTCTTTTAATGTAATCCCTAAATTAAGGGTACAAATAAATGTTTCAGGCTAAATTTATTATTTAATTTCAAGAGGATTTTTGCTACTTTAAGAGCATATTTTGTTTTAATGGTATTCTTCACTATTTTTATGATTAGACCCTGTAGCAGAATTTACGGAGTTAATTGGCAGCATTATCTTAAAATCAAATTTGTCAGCGACTTCAATGCATTCAAGATTATTAATCAGGCAGAGATTATTAATGTAAAAAAAAGAGCTTAATCTAGCATATATATCACAATTTGCAAATAAGAAATATAATAATATAATATACATAAAAACTTTATAATTTTTGAATTTAATTTGAATTTTTTACAATCATACTTTAACTTATTCCAAAAGGTTAAAACCAGATGCCTACACAAAACCTAATTAAGAATTCAGAAAAAAAGAACGAACTTGTAGTTGATAGTATTAAAATAAAATCATTTCAACTTAAAAGAATAAATAAACATAATTGTAATTTAAGGTGTTCTGATTCGCCCTAATTAAAATTTTCTTAAAATGAAATTAATTATTATACCAGCACAGGTACTTTGCAGAAAAATAAAATAATAACCAGAAAAATTTTTATATTTTTTTATTTAAAGAAAAATACTATTCCTTATTTCTCATAAATTAAGACTAACAAAACTCTTCTTTTTTTTTGTTTCATCTTTAATTACTTGTTCTCAGTTTTTTTTCTGCTGGTAATTGTTTTTGTTCCTTAAAGAAAATTGAGATGGAAAATAATCTGCTGAAGCAGTGATAATCTGATTATAAAATATGACTATTTAACTTACTTTTTTTCCGTATAGGTTCAAATATCTTCCTGTCAATGGCCTCCGGAAAAAGTTGCTTTCCTTCGTTTTGGATTTCGCATGTTCCATAAGTGTAGGTTGGTGGCATTATCAGGTATCTTATATTGGTATTGATTTTGTAGTAGTTATTCTAGCTACAAGAAAATATACATACATACTTTTTTCAATGAAAAAATGAAAATAATACTCAAGTAAATAAATTGATAACTCAAAAAATAAAGAAATTGCATTCATTATTTTCAAATGTTTGAAACACAGGATGTAAAATCTCTGTCTGTATAATAATGTAATTCCATTTTAATTATTACCCTATATTGGGCAACAAATAGTCGAAACTTGAAATCAAATGTTTGAAAATTAATAGCTTTGTAGGGATATGTATGACCAAAAAAGAATATTTACAGAAGAGCGTTTTTGTTTTGGAGGGGGGGAATAAAGTTCGTTTTATATTTGAGAAATAATACACAATGAAATAAGAAACAACATTCATTAACTCTTGTTTTTTTGTTCATTTTCAACAATAATTGTTCAAAGTTTTTGAATAAAATTGAGAATAATTTATAATTAACTAGCTGAATTTCTGTTAATCGCACGGAGTAAATAAAAAATAATCAATTATTCAGTACTGAACAAACACTACGAAATTAGACAGAATGACACAGTTGAAGAGTTTAGTTGAAGAACCAGGTGAGGGACATTTTTAAAGGTAAAAATGCCAATTAACGTTTCACCAGTTGTACTTATTACCAAAATTGATTAAGCACCATTAGTTTTAATAGTATAGCGACTTTTTATAGTTCTTCAAGACAGACACCTTTCCTCCATTATTTTAGCTGTTTATATTTAAACTTTTTTTTATTTCAATTTGTACAGATCACTATAATTAATTAAACATCATTGGCGTCAATACCAATGTAGCAATTTTTTACTGTTCTCATATTTTTGTAGTTCTTTTAGACAAATAAATTTTCTCAATTAATTATGCTTTACAAAAACTTTCTTATCTAAATTTTTACAATTGCTAAACTAATTAGCTGTAATTTTCAAAAATAATTATTACTGGCAGTAATATTTTTTTAATGGTTTTTTGACGACACTGATTTCTTCACTTATTTCAAAGGCTGTAAAAAGTCGCCGAACTATTATTGGCGCTAGTATTACATAATTAAAAGCGGTATTAAATGCTACAGGTTTTGCCATTATAAGCATTGTGGTAATGGGGTCATACCAATATAGCTGCATACTATAGATACTATGGTTCTATATTATCTACCTATGATTTTTACCACCTTCCAAAACGCACAAGTACCTTAATATCACATATTAATTGCATCTAAGCAACTAATACGCAACTTTTTTTTTGCCGCATAATTCTGTACGGTTTCCTACTATTTTTTCTACCATAGTATGAGTCAGAAGTTCATCTCACCGAGATAAACTATTCATATAGTACAATTTAACCTGTGATATCCAGAATTTATCATGCTTATCCCATAGCTTATTAGATAACCTCAAATTTTTATTTGTTTTTGTTAATTTACCATTATTTAAGCTGATCGAGACACTTTTTAAAAGTGTAAATATTGATATACAAAATACGGTATTTTATATACCTTTTAAAATACGAATTCGGTGATGTCATCACCATACGTTGTAAAACTATTAACGTTGATTTCACTTGTGATAACCTAATATAGGAAGCAAAAGATAAATAATTCATAAAAGCATGTTATGAAACTAATTTTATATTAATTAGAACTGCAAGTTAAAAAAATCACTCATATTATTAAATATTTATTATCAAATCCTACGAAAAGGTTGTTGAAAGTTCCTAGAAGACAATTAGGTCCACCGTGTCTTCGAACGCAAGTACACAAAATTTGTTGAGATAGGTTCAGAATTACGGATTTATATAATATTGTGAAAAAGTTCTGCTGTACTTATATAAATTATAAATAAAACACGATGCAATTCAATCCATTGTTTTTTGTGACATTACATTCCCTGTTGCATTTTTCCCATTCATTTTTATTTTGAGAGGAATGAACAAACTGTATTTTTTATTGAAACAATTTTCAAGTTGTTAGAGCAAAATAAGAACTTCCATCTGGTTAAGTCACTAATTTACCTCTAAATCATAATTTATCAAAAACCAGTTTGAAAAACATAATTAAGAGAAAAACATTACATGCTAATTAAGAAAATAAATTAACATTTTGCTGACATATGTTACATTTTAGGAAAAAACTGTGAGCTATTACTAACCTTTGATTGTAGCCGCAAATAAAAAAAAATTTAATTCCAATAAAGGCACTTATAACTTAATTCAGAGTATGCAAGAACATAATGATTAGAGTTCAACTAAGACATAATCCCTCTGACCATCGCAAGCCAATGATAAGAAAGCAAATAAAATTTGTTTACTAGATAACAGTGTGCGAATGATAATGATTTGTCAAAAAATATATAGATTTATTACAATGAAAAGCTAAAAGAGTTAAAAGTTGTCTACAATAAGAAGTTAAAAGAGCATTTGAAATCAAACAATGCGATTTATTATCCGTTAATCATTCCTCTACTAACTTTACTGTACAAGGCGAAAAAGAGAACTAGTACTTCAATATATTTTTATTTAATAATCAGATTTTTGCAGATTATGATTAAGACCTAACCTTAAACATTCTAATTAATTAGTGCAGAGTTGCGAATGAGGCGAACCGGGTTCGAATCCCAGTCGATACGAATTCCGCATCCGGCTTGCACCGACCACAGTGCTGACGTGAAATGTCTTCAGTGGTAGACGGATCATGGGTTTGAGTCCCCTTACCATCAGGCTAACTGTGGGAGGTTCTCGTGGTCTTTCTATGTAACGCAAATGCGGGTTAGCTCCGTCAAAAAGGTGTCCACGGAGGCAAAATTTCTCCCAATACTCGATCCAGGAGTTTCTTTATCTTTTGGATTGGGTTCAAAATTACAAGGCTACGGAATTGAACATTAGTAGTCGTAAACCCACAAAATTGGGTCGATTGTTCAACGATGGTTATAACATAAAATAAAGTGAATTAGTGCAGGCGATATTTTAAGTTACGAAACCAGATTTTAAAAAAAAAAAAACTAATGAACATTCTGATTTTTTAACCTTGGATTCTTCACCTTTAAAATATCCGGGAGTAGCTGTTGTCTGGAAAATATGGTCTCTATATAGTTTAGGCTGGACTAGAAGAGCAGTCGAAATTTTGAGACCCTTAATATTCAATTAACAATTCAAATTTTATGTATTTCGCTATATCAGCTAAGTATTTTTATTTTATGATTCCCTATAAATTTTGAATGTTGTTATTTAAAATAAAATTGATTAAATTAATGTGAAAACTTGTAAACCTCACAATTCAAAATTGTGTGCAAAATTTTTTTTATTCGTTTCAGTAATTTAAAAATTCTGGAAAAATTTGTTCAAAGTGAAATTAATCCAAACTTACGGTCGCGGTCGCTATCCTGTCCCCCCCTCCTCCCCTAATGTTTTGAGAATCAAGAATCCGTCGGGAAAAAAATCGTCCGTTAACAGAAATGTTACGTATTTAAGTCCGCTTTCGTAATTTAAAATATTATGTTCACTAATAAATTCAAGTATTAAAATTTACAATGTATCACTAATAAATTGAGGTGAGGTCCCTAAATCGTTAAAACTGCATTTTATTAAATGAAAATCCAAGTCTTTGATCAAAAGTTAGGGATTTGATTTTTATTTTGCAATCAGAACTTATTGAAAAGTGTAATCTAAAAGCTTACAAATTTCTAGCAAAATATAATAAACTGGATGGGTCTTAATCTTCCACTTAGAATTGCATAAATTATTTTCTATTTTTTCAACGATTCTTTAAATTTGCTTCAATATTCTTGGGTGTGAAATTTTACCATAGAGATTTCGACAATTTTCCACCTAGCTAGGGCACTCAAATCTCTATTGGAGCTCCATACCTGAAAATGAAGCAAGTTTCAGTCTATTAATGACAGCAATAAACCGAGATCAACTTCATTTTATAGCAAAATAGAATTTATCGTCTGTCAATATCAGAACATGAACTAGAATTATCCAGCGAAATTTACTGCTATAATAAATTCAGAATAATTAGAGTTCTCAAATTTATACTGGAGCTCTGTATTTGGTGGTATTACAAGTTTCAGTCGTTTCCTGACCATTGCTAACAACAGAATTTGTCATGTTATCACTAAACGAATCAATAAATTTCACCAATGAATTTATCGTTAATTAAAATTTGATCAATTTTCATTAATTTAGAGTGCTCAAACTTCAACTTAATTACAGTACAATACTAGTTTCAATAGTTTTCTAACCAGTACAAGCAGAATTTACGACTATATTATCTCCAAAAAAAAGTTTTCTTCAATTCAAAACTGTGACAGCTTTCCAGCTGTAAAAATAATTTGGAGCAAAGTACTAGATGACAATGTAAGTTTTAATTGTTCATTAGGTGTTGCGAACAGAGTGTTTATCGTTATTTTATCGTCAGTGAAATTACTACTCTTTTTCAACAAGCTAGAGACAGGAACCCGTGCCACAGGTCCTGGATTTGATCCTCGGGCCGGGAAAGGTCTACTCAGCCTTTCATCCCTTCAGTGGGTCGATAAATGAGTACCAAAGCATGCTTAGGAACTAAACACTGAGGGTTTCGCGTTCTGCTGACCACCTAACCGGAACATCTGATCCGGCATCCCAGAGCCCAAGATCAAGAAAACTGAGATGGGCGCAGTAGGCCTTGGCCCTCTATGAGCTGTCGCGCCACTGAGTTTAGAGTTTAGAGACATGAACCTGTCGGAAAGTGGTCAAAATTTGAGTATCCGGTAAATGCCTTTCGAAGATAATGTGATTATAAATAAAACTTGTTACATTTAGATAACAAAACAGAATTTGTATTACCATTTATGCACAAATGACAGTGAAGAAAAACTGCCCTTTTAATTAGTAATTTAAAATTAAAAATATTAAAAAATAATAGTTTAGACAAACAAAAATTAAACTATGAAGTTTCAAACGCCAAAAGGTTTTTTAAAAAAAATATCAAAAGGTAAATAAATTATTTCCTTTTCCATAACAGCAGCTAATCTTGCAACTCCATTATTAGCTACAATTGAAAGCAAATTTGACGTGAAGGATTTCTGCCATGGTATAGCCTCCTCCTAATCTAATTTTTAAACAACTTCGTGGCGAAAATCAAAAAGTTAGAATCCAAGGTCTCCGATGCTCCGTAACTGCATTAAAATTCGATAAACAATACAAGTCACATTTTTCGCATTTATTGCATATTCCACACGGAATAAATTAATATCTAAGAGGAATATTATAATATTTTAGAAGTATTGTATCAGCATAGTTGCGTGTAAATGTTGAAATTAAATTTTTCTTATCAATAAATTTCATTTACAGGAATTTAAATTATTTTATAATTCAAAGTTAATTCATGTAACTGATAAAATTAATTTGTGTTCTTTTATCCTATTTCATGAAAAGAACATCCACTTATTTTGAAATAGCTAATTTATCATTAGTATATATTTATATAAAAATTCTAAATGTTAAAGAAAAGGACGGCTATGCGAAAATTTGCATAAAAATTTTTTCTTTTTTTTATCATTAACTAGCAATTGCTGCATTTGAAAAGCTAACACCAGAAGACTCTTAGAACCAGATATTCTATCCTTTTTTTCATAAAGAATTAAAAAATAATAGAGGATTTAAAAAAAATAAAAAAAACTTAAATTACACCAAAAGTAAAAGGTAAGTAAGTGACTAAAAATAGTTTTGCGATGTTTCTGATAACGAAAACATTAAGATGTACTGTAGCATTAAAATTTCTTTAAAGTGTCAAAATGCGTTAAAAAAAGATCTGTAACATTCAAAAATAAGTTTTCATTTGTTTTCATATGATGCAACATGTGTTTGTCCTTGCAGACTTTTACCCGAAACTATCGTTTCTGTAACTAAACGTAACTTACCAACAGAAACTCTACCGGGAACACGAGATAGACGTGTAGAGTCATTTTTGTTTTAAAAAAAATTACTTTTATCCAACTACAATAAAAAAAGTATAACTTTGAATAAGTGAATTGCGTAACCAATAATAAAATAAAACAAAAATTTCTTTAACTTCATTTTTCATTAATTTTTTATACAAATAAAATATGCAATGAACTTGTTTATTCTATAAATTTAGGTCAGTATAGTAAGGCCTAAGTTTTTTTTTAACGTGGTGGAGATCACATTACTTATCCTTCAACCTTATACGTCATTGAGAAAGTTTACGTGATCTGAAAATGAATTCCAGAAACTACTAACAATTCCTAATAAACCACTTGAATTAGCTATACAGTTTTGCAATTTTAATAAGTTTAAACTAAACACTGTCACGATACAAAGATCTAAAGGATTTTAAATTGATCACTGCTGTTACTACTACTGTTCAGTTTACATTTGTAATAATTTCTTTATCTAAGCTTCTTATCTTAAATAGTTGAATGTAGGCTAGTATTTTTAGTTATCAGCGTAAACCAGAATAAGATAAAGTAGTTAAATGTTTGAATTCACCAGAAACATTCATTGTTATTTGAAAAGACATTTTTTTGCTTTGCCAAAAGAAAACAAATGAATAAATCTGATGGAAAATATCAAAGTAAAAATGCAGGATTTATTCTGCTTTTTTACCATGAAACTTTGATTTCAAAGTTTCTGCTCTGTAATTTCTAACTTGGATTATTTCGTTTATTTACTCAAATTTTTAATATGCAGTCAAGATCCATGATGAACGAAATCATTCTTCTAGAATTATTTATATATTCTTCTTTATATTCTAATTCATTAAAAATGTTCTCTCTTTTGTTCCTACAGAAAAAATCCATATAGATGATGTACATTTTCCCTCAAAACTTCAAATCAAAAACTATTTCTTAAAAAAAAATTCAGATCTTTCAAATTTTATTTTTTTTTTTATCAAAAGAAAAAATTGAACTTTATTTAAATTTTCAAATTAAGACAATTTTTGACACTGACACCAATTTTGATTGACTTTTTAAATTTTAATGAAAATACCGGAAAACAAATCGAAAAGGAAGCGAATAAACGTAAATACATAAGAAAGTCTCGCGAATAATTCCTATTGACACTGACACCAATTTGGATTGAATTTTTAAATTTTAATGAAATATTTTTATTAAAATTCCGGAAAACAAATCGAAAAGGAAGCGAATAAACGGAAATATAAGAAAGTTTCACGAATAATTCCTATTTAAAGCTTATTCCTAATAAATACACAATATTAAACTTTGTCCAAAGAAAAGTCTAGAAAAGAAAAAAAAATAATTCGAATTAAATTTGGGTTAACAATTTTAAATTGAATAATTCTGAATTTATGCATACATTCTGCATACATACATCATATATGAATTAACTGCGCATTAATTATGAAAGCAAAATATAAAAATTTGCTAATTCATGGAAAAAAAGCGAATAATATAGTAAATACTTTTCACGTATAATCTCAATTTATAACATTCCTAATGAATAATAAAGAAAAGGCTACAAAAAAATAAAGAATTTTTATTCTCAATGAATTTGGAATAATAATTAATACATTTAATTATTATTCTGTGTTTATGCGTACATTAATTTATCGTTTATTAATTATGCATTAATTATAAAAACAAAAAAGAAAAGTTTCGTTTAAAATTTTTGGAAAAAATAAGCAAATAATCGGAAATATATTTCTCATTTTTAAACACAGTCTTAATAAATACTAAAAAAAAAAGCTACAATAAAAAAAATTAATTTTGATGAATTTGAAATAATAATTCTTAAATTGAATTATTATTCCAAATTTATGCATACATTTGACATGCTTTAATCATATATTATATTTACTATGCATTAATTATAAAAACAAAAAAGAAAAGTTCTGTTATAAATTCCTGAAAAAAATAAGCGAATAACAAGAGGTATAATGACTTTAAGTAAAATTTCAATTTATAACATATTTCCATAAAATGCTGAAGAAAAGGCTACAGTAAGAAAATCAAGAATTATTGTTCCCAACTAATTTGGAAAAATAATTATTAAATTTAATTATTATTCAGTGTTTTTGCATACATTAATTTATCATAAATTAACCATGCATTAATTATGAAAACAAAAAAAAATTTCGTTAAAAATTCATGAAAAAAAGCGAGTAACAGGAAGTATAGTACTTTTTCTTGTATAATCAATTTTTAACACATTCTTAATAAATACTAAAGAAGAGGCTACAGTAAAAAAAAAAAACAAGATTCTCAATGAATGAATAACAATTCTCAAATTGAATTATTATCTCGAATACATTCGCAATCATTCATAAGAGATTTCACATTCTATAAATTCCTTCACTATTATTCTAAATAAATATTTTCAATCATTAGAGCCGTTTAAACACAAAATTTGATATTGGAAACATTTAGTGGTTACTAAAACTTTTAATCGAAATTTTTATTTTGAAACACTTTTCCATATTGTCCTCTCTTTCCGGAAATAGTTTTAAAAAATCTTACTTTTTTTTGCTTGACACGTGTGTGTCACGTTTCTAAGTCATGCAGCAGCTATCTTTCAGATTACAATCATCCGAGACTTAAGTTTTAATTTTTTTGTATTCTTCAAATGAATTTTTTGTAAATATTGTTGATGGAATGTAGTGGTTTAAGGTCTGTTTAGCTGTTAGCTATGTAATAACTGTCTGACGTCATGGTGATTTCCTGGATGGTGATTTCCTACAGTGGTGATTTTCTGGGTGCAAATTTCTTTCAGGATTTCATTTTTTCTTTTCTAACTAAAAAAGTCCAATCGTAAACTGTTCATAAGACACTGTTTCCAGTATGTTTAAAAGTTACAAAAAAGTTTATGAAAATGTATGACTCGCACAGGACCAAAGCTGCTATAACCCGATTCTACTAATTATAGTTTAGAGCTTTCGGGATCGCATCTCATCTCTAATACGCACAAGGATTGGCCTCAGAATTCGGATGAATTGACGATCATCACCCATAGATGATCCCATAATTGAAGTTCACTTGTGCAGGCTCATGAGTGAACATATACGTCGCCTTACATATATATTGATGGACCGAACTCTGCCTGGGGCTCTTGCATGAGGACCTTATTACTACACCTCTTATTGTATATTACTTTCTGAGGATTAATGTCCTCCTGGACATGGCCTAGCTTGCAGCTAGACCTTAAGGAATAAGCCACACACGTGCGACATTGATAGCCAAATGAAAGAGAGAGGAGGATTTATTTTATTTATTTATTTCGCACGTTTAACGTAGTCTTTTAGAATACTGATTTCAAGTACTAATCTTACGATAATGGGTTCGAGTATTTATTTTATGGTGGATGAAATAGTGGGTTCGAGAATTAATTTTACGATAACGGGTTCTAGCACCAATTTCATAATATTGGGTTCGAAAACTAATCTTGGTTACGATTAATAATGGTTAAGATTATTGAGAGTGGGTTCGAAAACGATAATTTTACGATAATGGACTCAAATAATGACGAGTTGTTGTTCATTTACGTCGCACTAGAGCTGCACAATGGGCTATTGGCGACGGTCTGGGAAACATCCCTGAGGATGATCCGAAGACATGCCATCACAATTTTGATCCTCTGCGGAGGGGATGGCACCCCCGCTTCGGTAGCCCGGCGACCTGCACGCGAAGTCGAGCACTTTACGGTAGAACAGTTTAACGAGGATCAATACCGCACACCCTCGGTCCCTACGCAGGCTGATCCAAGTGGTCACCCACCCGCACACTGACCGCAGCCAGTGATGCTTGACTTCGGTGATCTGCTGGGAACCGTGCCTTAACGATCAGTCCACTACGGGACCAAATAATGACGAATCAATAAATTTGTTTTGTTTGCGATAGTTTGACTATGCTATTATCAGTGACAATTGAATTGGTTTTACTAATAGAGAGATTGGATTTCTGCTTTGTCAAGGTTCCCATCCCATAGAATGTTTCAGATATCTTTCGTTTGTTTATGAGTTCGGTGCAATATCAGACTTGGAAAGCTAGATTTAATTGCTATTCTTGGCCTTCCTGTAAACAGACCAATGTTTATTGCCGTAACTCCTACTTCCAAAATATATGTATAAAACTGCTAAGTCCATTATGCATTAAAACTGGTACAGTTTTACAACTAATTCTCCAACCATTCAGTTTTCTGCGAAATACTCTTATCAGTAGTAGCAGGTAGTAGAAATCGTAGAAATCTGAAAATATTCTATTTCTAGTAGTACTAATTTTATAAAAGTTAATGTGTCTCAGCATATTTACAAATTTAATGCAGATTTTTATGACAAAGCTATCAACTGCAATACAGCTAACTTCAATGAAATATTTAAATTTGAAAACTTTAAAAAAGACAAAAACCTTAGACCAATAGCTGCACACTTCACCTCTGACGCCTCGTACCGAAACTATCAACATAAGTAAAAATCTCCAACTCTAACATCATCAATAGTTCATAGCAATAGTTCAAAACATCAACAGATTACAATCTCAACTGCTTCAACTACAATACCAAACTTGAAATCTGAACCTAGTACCTAATGTTGACAATAGATTCACAGCCATCTTTTCTATAGCCTTGAAATTCAAACCTGTTACCTCATGTGGACAATACATACACAGCCATCTTTACTATAGCAAGTTGCTTAGAATTATTTTCACTTTCTTTTCAGTTAAACAAGCAAGGTGCTTGCTTTACAATACCAGTCACCCCAGAGACTCTGTATACAAACTGCTATCATTTTCTAATTTTACTGTAATGGGTCTTCTGTGCGGCCCAGGTGCCCAGCTTTTGTTAAATAAAGTAAGTAAGTAAAAGTTAATGTATAAATTGCAGTAATGTTCCTTATACAGAGCTCGAAATAGGAAAAATTCCAAAGCAAAAGATTCAAAACTACTGTCTTGAATTTTAATGCTTAAAAATTTTTCAACCAAGAATTTGACATTTGAAATGATGCAGTGTAAAGTAATGTTTACATTGGTGTAAAAAAATTTCCTTCATTACAAATTAAATATAAATATTTGCATCAAGTCAACGTAGGATAAACAAGTTTTATAGTTGAGGATTCGCTTTTTGATTAATGAATCAAAAAGCGATTCCTGGTGAGCATAATAATATCTTAAAAATAAAATAATAATATAGAACAAACTAAGCAAATTATTTTTAAAAGAGTGAAACTAAATTAGAATAAACTATTTGGATCATTTTTGTAAAATGTGGCTTTAATTGTATACTTCAAAAGTCAAAAATCGAAATATGTCTAATAAAAGTATATTTATTCAGAGAAAGCAAATTTTATGCCCAATTTTTCACGTCAAAATATTGTCTGTTCTAATTTCCATAGTTCCAGATCTACTCCTCGAACTTATGATCTTAGTTCGCGAAAATTTGGTAACTCATAGATCAAAAGGTATAAATAATAATAGTCATTTTTTATTTTGCAACTTGAAATTACGATCTAAGTAAATTTGATTTCATTTAACACTAAATGATACTAAATGTTTAATAGCTTTTAAATTATTCTATGTTAGAGAAAACTTATCGAAGAAAAAAAGAAACATTTTCATAAATATACATCAGAAAAACATTTAATGCACGAAAATAGTTTAAATCCTCTTTATAAACATTAAAATTTACAATATATGCTATTAAAATTCGATACATATTAGTACTAATAAGACAATTACTTACTTTTTTATTAACATAATGGCTAGGTCAGGGAATTTTTAGCGTTTTTTTTTTTTATCCTTCTACGTATAATTTGTCGGGGAAGAATGAAAAACGTAACTAATCATTAAATAATAATATAAAATTATTTATGTACTTTGAAAGTTTTAATTATTTATAATTATTAAAAAACTTATTTGTAATCTAAAATTACAAAATTTCCGAAATTAGGTAAAAAAAAGTCGAAAACGACTAATTTTAAAACTGTCACATAAAAAGTAGCAAAACTGTTAGTAACATACAAACAAATGCGGAAATGTTTCGTTCTTTTAAACTAGGATAAGGACATATCTTTTAAGGAAGTTGATTATTTTTCGAGAAAAGGTTTGTTTTCAAACAAACAAGTTGAGAAAATAATCAGTTTTTACAGATGGGCTGATCGAGTTACGTAGTGTAAAACTAAATGTTGAATTTTCCATAAAAAATGTACAGTGCTCAAAATAGAAACACCTTGACAACTCTTGAAATAACAGTTAAAGATGCAATCTTGAGGATTTAAAAAATATAACTTTAAATATGCTTTTTAATATGAGTAGGATGCATTTTAAGTTACGAAGGTTATATTTTAAGTTATTACGAAGTCCGACACAAAAATGTATTTCATCTGAATAATCATGGCTATTTTCTACGGATTCATATTTTTGAATCTCAAATCATCAATTTAGAGAATATGATTCTCAGAAGTTGGGTTGAGTTAGATGTAGCCATATTTCTGAAATTATTCGGGTGAATTAGGACGTTTTTAAATAAAATGATAAAACTCATTTAACCAAGGATAATTTCAAACAAAATTTAATTTTAAAGACTATTTATTATTTTTTCTTGCTTAATTAAATGACGATCGAATAATTTTTGTCAAAAGAAAGAAGTTTAACAATTTGACTTTTTTGAAATTTTGTAACTCAAACATTGTTTGATCGGTTTTGGTCAAATTATGCCTTTTTTCATTTAAAACTATTTAAAAAAAATTGGATGTAAGAAATTTTAAAAAATTGTAAAATTAATTTAAAAAATAATAAATTATTTTTTTTAAAAAAATGACTAAATAAAAAATTAATGGTTCAAATGTTTACTGTTCTTCTGACTAAAGTGAACATAATTATGTACACCATAGAATGTGGGTAAGAAATTTATTTAATTTTATAACTTTGGTTAAACAGCCAACCCAAATCTGAGTTTCTGACTCTTAATGTAGTCTTTCATGTATTTTGAACCCAATCCAGAAGACAAGGGAACTTCTGGTTCAAGTATTGGGAGAAATGTTTCCTTCGTGGAGGATTTCTTGATGGAACTAACCCACATTTGCGTTACAACCGCAGAAAACCTCCCATGGTTAGCCCGACGGCAAGGGTACTCAAGGGGAGGAACACATTCCCCACCTCGTAGCTATTTCTAGATACATCTATTATAAGTTTAAAAATACAATGCACATAATCAACAAGGGCACGCTTCGTTTTTTTATGTTATTTACATAAATATATTTACATACATAAATATTTAACATGATTGATAGTACTGCCTTAAAAATGGTTAAAACATTAAAGTCAATTAAATAGTGATAAAAGAACATAATATAACTTATAATAATAAAGTTTCAAGAAAATATCTAATTCATTTAAAATCTGCAAGAGTAACTTTTAAGAATATTTAAGTCGTTTATAAATATTTATAGATAACAACTTAATTAGCAAAAACACTAAATAATAAAAGAGTTTAGCTTAAAAGCAAAAAATTCATAAATTTACAAGAAAATTTTATATTTTTTTGATTTTTAAGCGGTTTTGCAGTCTTAATTCTCATAATAAAAGCTTACCCGTAATGTAGTTTACGATTTAAGCCTATATTATGAGAGTTAAGAATACGAAACCGTTTAAAAACATATACTATATCTATTCAGAGAATATACGTTTTATGTCTTGTTTCGTAAATAAAACATAATTATCATATTGAAGGCCAAATTCTCTCCCTATCATGCTTGAATCTGAGCATGTGATAATTCGATTATTAGACCAAAAGGTATTATAGTGTTCTGTTTTTTTTTTAATTTTATTTTGTGCAATATTCACTCACAAAATTATCATATTTAAAGTCAGCATTTTGAACAATTACGGTTATTTCTTCGTGCGTAAAAATCATATAATTATCAAAATACCTTAACTTTTTGAAGTAGATAGAAGATGGAACGCTAGTGACTCTTTTATATTTTTTTCTGGCTCTCTAATTACAAGCAAAAACATATTTTAGTATTTTTCAGTCATAAAAATCAATCTAATAGATACTGAAAAAAAATTTTAAATTCTCGATTTATAATTGTACTAAAATATAAAATCCAAAAAAAAGGGAAAAAAATTTTTTTTTTCATTCATATTTAAAAATGCATTAATGATTAATTTTGTAAATTAAAGAAATTACATTAATGAAT